CGGGCGCTAATAGAGCTTGTCTCGAAAAAAACTGTTTGTTTGATGAGTATAGAAAGCATTTATTAGGATAAATAGTTGTTACTTGTGAACCTCGGCTCCAATTCAAGCTAGAATTTTTTTAAACAGGGGATGCTGGAGTAGGCGGTACGGTAGAAAGTGTCACTTAAATGCGCGATAAGCCTTGATAGGAGACCAAGTAGTAAAAGTATTGCCCTCGCCTCTAAGATCACTAAATACAAATCTCTTGCACTCCGAGTCGCTAAAGAAGGAAGTAGGGCCTCCAGTGACAGTCACGTTGTTAGGACTACTATGGTAGCTAGATCCCACACGATGGCAATGGTAGTCATTGGAATTATAGACCTCTTTTTTCTTTGCTGAATTCACAAGGGTAACTCGACGAGCGGCATTGCAAAGCGCAAACAGACAGCCGAGAATCGCAAGAACAAGGTAGAAGCGCATAGTAGGTGTAGAATTAGGAGTAAGTAGGCAGGTGACGATGGATAAACTCAACAGCCGCCAGATGGCTGACGGACTGCATTTTATACGGCGACTAGCTCAAGAGTTGGTGGATGGTAAAGATATTTTTCATTCTCACGACAAAAAGCACGCAACTTCTTTTGTCTCTCATGTCGCAACAACATGCGACTATCCCTTCCAGAAACTGCGTCACAAAGAGAAGATCGGCAAAAAAGCACTTTTTCGCCAAGCATTACACAGAAAAACCAACACATGGAACTACAAACAGGGGCTTCGAGATTGAATTATCTAGTAGCATGTATATCCATATCTGAATACACGAAGCTCACACAGCTGCGACTTGATTGAAGCTATTGGTGGCAGCCACACAGCTAAAATAACACATGGAACAACAATAGAGGCTTCTGAAGAACGTATGTTTTATATCTGATTACCTCGACCTCACACAACCTAAGCTAGATTGAAACCATTGGTGGCATTATTTATTGGCTATTAAGCAGATCAGCATGTTGCATAGAAAGTAGTAGTTCACATGGGAAGCAAAAAAATATGTTTGTCTCAATGAAAGCAAAAGTAAGTTTAATGAGCGTGGGGCTCTCCAAGGGCACCAGTACCCGAAAATAGCGCTTTAAAATTTGGAAAGTCGAGTGGAGAATAGTAGTAAGAAACACTGGTGACACACATTTTAGCAAGTATCGAAAAAAATTTGAATAATATTATTCAAACCGAATAAAAGCAAAAAAATATTTGATCAGAGTGGGACTCGAACCCACGCCACAATGTGACCAGCACCTGAAGCTGGCGCCTTAACCGCTCGGCCATCTGACCTTCTGTTCCAAACTAACTGTTGGACTTTCACTTATTCTCTTTCAAAAAGAGTCACTGAAGAACAAAATGCCTGAAATATGCAGATAATAGGGC